CAGCACCTTTACCTGTGTGGAAAAGTTGTATTAATGCACTCTGGAGGCTGCTCACGCTGCCAAAGGGACTGAAATAAAAAGGAAAATGGAGCGCCTCCATCGTGTAAAACAGTTTTATTATAACAATCTAAAAGGAGTAAAAAACATACTAACAAAGGAACTGGAATTAATAAGCATATATTATATATCGGCAAACAGACACCGAGACCTTGAGGCTCCAACACAGGCGACAAACTGCATAGCCCTCTTGGTTGACGCGTTTCAGAGGACACGCTTCCTTCCTCAGAACCAGAGTTCTGGGGGGAAAAAACAGCCTGAAAAAAAAAATCTACACATAACTTTAAAAAGTTAAAGAAGAACTCCAGGATTTGTTAAAACTAACCCTTGCAGTGGGGCTACCCCTGTGCTACAAGGGTTGAGTGCTCGTTTTTTCTAGGGGGTGATGAAGAAGTAATACTCACCAGATTCTGTGTTCCGCCTGGTTGCTAGACTGGTCCCTGCAGCCTCTTTTCCCCTGGGCTCCGGTGGTCTAAGGACCCATGATGTAATCACGTCTAATACAAGTACATTAGATGTGAGGATGCCAACATGCCACAGCCAGGGTGTAGGGGAGAGAGGTGAGTGGTCACTGCTGCATGACTGAGGATTGGGTGAGTATTTCATTTCCCCCCCAGACCAAAATGAGCTCTTACCTCTTGCAGTGCAGGGGTAGCCACACTGAAGGGTTGCTTTTTTAAAATGCTAGAGTTTTTCTTTAGCTACCATTTGCTAAGCCTCTTACTATAGGCCCTGTGTATACAATTTGAACTCCTCGTAAAGCCAGAGGTGCATCTACTGATCACAATTTGGTTGTAATAATACTTGTGTGTACAGTAGTACACAGTGTCTATGTGATGATGAACTGTATATGCTACTCTGCAACTAACTCGTATTATAAAAAAAAAGTCAGGCTTCTGTAAATTGTTCTGTATTTGTTACACTACTTTTTTCTTTTTTGTTTAGCAGAACAGCTCACAGATTAAGCTGTAAGTTACAATGTTGTATATATGACATATGTATTCATATTTTGGCATTCAAGAGCTTTTACAGGCAAAAATGGAAAAGTGAAACTTGTCGGTTATCTGCTCATGCTGTCTACCAAACTTTACATGGAAAAAGTCCATGAAGTTTACCTGATTTTTAGTTCTCTGTAATTTCACTGCAGCTTGCAACATAACCATTTGGATTCAAACTTTCAAGCCAGGTTTAAATCTGATTGGTGTCTTTGACCTCTCTGAAGCGTCTTCATTTGGTCTCTTTGATACATCAAGCTTTCTGTATGTAAGAGACAAGAAATAGGAATAAGCAAATATGTTTTGGAGCTCAGCAAATTTGGGTGGTTCGTTTCAGCCATGTTTCTTTAGAAGGTTCCAATTTACTTCCTTCGAAAACCTTACTTAAAGTGACACTAAACTCAGGAATTAAATCTTAAAAATACATTCAAGTACCCTAACTGTTAACAAAAATGTATCTTATTTGTTTATCACTCGGCTGTAGATGCTCAAATCATCTGAATTCATGCTGACACTGCCCTGCCTACTGGAGGGTGGCTACTTGTGTTCCCCATTGTCCCTGTGTGTGTTGTAAAGTAGCCACCACTCAAAGCTCACTCCTGTGATGGACTACAATCGCAATACAAATTATTAAACTAAAGGCGAGATTGTGGTCCATCACGGAAGCGAGCTTGGAGCGATGGCTACTTTACAACACACACAACACACACAAGGACCATGGGAACAAAAGTAGCCACCCTCCAGAAGGAAGCACAGTGTCAGCACCATTTCAGAGATGATTTGAGAATCTACAGCTGAGTGATATACAAATAAGATACATTTTTGTTAATAGTTAGGGAACTTGAATGCATTTTTAAGATGTAACTCCTGAGTTTAGTGTCACTTTTAGTAAAGTGCTTAAGTGGTAGAAAGAACCACTTTGCTGTTCACTGTTTACTTAGCAGACTGTACATCTTTATGTGACATCACTGCACTAATATGGAAGTACTATACTTCCTTGACAGACAAGGTGTGGGGGTGATGCATACTCTCTTGAGGAAATAGTAAAATAAGTGGACCTTTTGGACAACGTTTTACAGCTTAACCAGTGGAGCAAATCGTTTAGTCTACGCCTTTTGATTTACTGGCAAAACAGGTTTTCTGTTATTCACTCATGTTTAACACCTAGCACTCTGAAAAGGATGTTTTGAGACTTCCACCTGCAGAAAAAAAAAGTGTGCAAAGGGGGTCACCAGATAAAAGGGAGTGGCCTGGATTGTTAAACTACAGTTATGGCTGGCTTAAAAGTGAATCCCTGTTTTCCCAAAGCGTATTTCATTTTATGTTGTCTATTGTGGACTGTGTGAGTCCTTGCTGAATACAGGTGTTTCTTAAACCATCATTTGATCTAGTTAATTCCTAGGTTTTTTTTCTCTAAATAAAGTTAAAGTTTATATGAGTGCAGTCATTTCAATTTTACGATTTTACAATTGTTTTCTCGTTCAAGCCTGGTTGCAAAATAGTTTATTTTTCTTTCAATTTAACTCGCTTATGCCTTAAATATTTTTGATTATATCTCAGTCAGTTTCAAAGACCATTTCATGGCATGAATGAGATGATTTTTTAGGTACCGTATGGTTTAAAAAAAAAAAGCTGCTATCCAGAATTACAAATTGATGCCTGTGCAGTTTTCTTCTATCCGTAGCTAATTTTTAAGCTGGCTGCATTGTGGTAAGCATTTTATTATCTCTCGCTATTTTATACATAATTTTCCGTGCAAATGCCACATACTGGCATCATACACCACTTCAGATTTCAGGTTGAAACAGCTCATGGAATATAAGGCATCTGAAATTTAACCAGTGTCATTTATGCAGCTTCTTTCTTGAAGCTATAACATTTGGATTTCTCCTAGGAAACCTGCTGCCTTTTCTCTTTTCTTTCAAGTGCAGACATCACTGGCAAAGAAAACCTGTTTTCTCTAACATGTCTACTGTCGGTCATCTATACTTTCTGCGGATCAAATTTGTTATTTTGTTTTTGTGCTTTTTTTTTACTTGGGTCTCTATCCTATGTTAATAATGGTTGTTGGCTGTGTGATACTGTTCTGTAGAGACCAGAAACTCCTTTGATATGATGCAGCCTTTCCTGCAGCACAAAGACATTTTGATTTTACAGCACATGAGACTTATGCAGCAAATATTCTGTATGCAAATAAAAATGCTAAAACTGTCACTAGCAATCCAGGCCATATGTTTACAAATCATCCAGTGGATAATTGTCTTTGCTTAAGAAGTTTAAATATGAATACTCAAAATTTGTAGAATTTTCTTTGAACCCAGACAACACATGGTTTCTAATGAAAATGTGCTGGTGTGGTACTATGTATATACTGTATGTGTGTGCATGTATGTATGTATATATGCTAAATGCATATGGCATATTGAGGTATTCACAATGTGTTTTGATATGTGAGGAATGTAGCTGAGCTCCATCTTAATTCATAGTAAATGCTTGCATATAGAATATGCCCAATGTTTGGTGCCTAGGAATATCAAGGTGCTGGTGTGTGCAGACATCTTGTTTATTGCACAATAAAAACTGTGTGAGGAAAGAACTCTTCTTGGTCCCCTAATAGTTAGCTGCACTCTTGTTTGGGAAATTTTTTTTTTTTTTTTTTTTCTTTACACACTTATGTGTTTGCTTGATATCATATTTGGTAACTTTGCACTGCTGCAGGCCACCAGCCCTGTGGACATTGTTCTCATTCTGTTGCAATGCATAGATCACCAACCTCTTGTTTCCTATGTTTTAAAACAATATTTGCACTACATGTAACGTCTTGCTTCTTCCCCATGCTGAATTGCTTTAAAAAAAAATATTAAAAAAAACACCTGTACAAAGGAAAAATATTATGCTCACCTTTCCTCTTGCCTCTGTTGTGCAGGGGTTGACTTCATCATCCTCAGACAAGGTCCCAGTGAATGCTTAGTACTTCAAATATCGCAGAAAGACACTTCAGCAAAGTGCTGTGAGTGTATTCTTGGCAAAATTTGGAGCAGTCCACATTCCCCAGATCCCACCTGAAGGAGGCTGACTGTGCCCTTTATAGGCGCTGTGGGCAGAAAGTGGGGGAAAGTTGCGTACACTGTCTAACTTTTTTTTCTTTTTTCTCTTAGATGATTTTTAACACTTTTTTTTTTTTTTTATGGCAGTTCGGCAAGGGGAGTGGGGGCAAACATAAACTATGGACCTTGTATTTTAGATTCAAGGTCTGCTTTAACTTAAATTGTTTTCCTTTTTTTTATGGTCCTTACCATAATACATTTTAAAAAATGTGCAAAACCACTATATTACCTTCTAATAAATGACCTGCCTATGTGTATACCCAGTAAAAAGCCAGAACAGTTTCTAATATGCTTACACTGTAGTACACCAGCCTAAATGATAACCTGTATGTAGCCTTCAATAAAGGAGCTGTTGAAATCCCTGTATATTTGATTATATGACATCTTTTTATAACTGCTGTAAATCTGGATTTAGCCATTGTATTAAAATGCTGTTGAGGATCCTCTAATTTGACAAGGCAAGGATTCTTGAGTTGTAACTTTTTACAGTGTATCAGACATGTGGAAGTCTCAGAAATTCAGACTTGTCCATGAGCTTCTGACTGACAGAAGGTCATTTCTAAAAAGGCTATGGTGTTATGTTCTGTTATTGATGTCCCATTTTGCCATTGATTCACATAATTTCAAACTGCAAACGACAACCCTGAATAGCTTTAAGAAACAATGGGAATTGCTATACCATTTAAAGGTTTGATTGTCATACCTAGGTTGGACTTGATGTACTTATGTCTTTATTCAACCTCAAATACTATGTAACTATGTATACCTATATAATTGTTTTTGTTGCAACATCTGTATGCTGTTGTATAGTTGTCTTATCAAGATTGTTTCTGTTTTATAGCTCAGCATCAAAACATGTAGGAAAGGAACTTGGTAACACAGAAGAAAACAAAAAACTAGAAGAAAACAATCACAAATCAGAAGCATAAGAACTTAATAAATAGCAAAATACTCAAGATACTCAAGGTAAGCATTCCTCATACAACTGACTGAAGAGCAGTTCTTTATTCTAAGATGAATGGCAGCTGTAACATAAGAGTTCTTAATATAGTGTTTACACTGACAAGTTTTCTGATTTTTGTTTTTATACTTGTTTTTTGCAGGGAAACCATGATGAGCAGTTTGAAGCATGACTATGGATTGTAATTAATGGAATATATAATGGAGCTGCAAATGTTCATGGTCAAAGTATTAAACATTTGTACCAAGTTGTCACAGGATATTGACAAAAACTGCAAAGGATCAACAAAAAACTGATAACAGCCATGATGATAGCTTACCATGTTGTGTTTTTTTTCTTCTTTTTTTTAATGTAAATGTCTGCACTGAAAATTTTTGTTTGCCTTTTATGTACATTTTTTTACGTAGCTATTTTTATACACTGTAAGGCTTTGTTCTGGGAGTTGCTGTTAATCAGATGTATAGCGTATTGTTTTTATTTTTATGACACTGTTTGATGCGCAGGTACATTTTGAATTCTGATTGCTATCGGTAAAACTTTTTAAAGGAAATACACTAAGGTGTAACAGTTTCTTCATTTTGTTCTGTATTCTTTTAGGTCATCTCTGTTGATATTTCCTATAGATATTTGTAATTCATTTACTGAGGACTAGAATGGGCTCTGTAAGACCATGCATGTTCCCAGTGGATAAGATTAAGTATTCCACTCATAACTGCAGTCATAGCAAATTAGGTATTTTACCGATAGCATCATAGACAGAAATTATGTTCACACCATTAATCTTACAGTGACTGGAATCCTGTCTTTTTTTGTTGTCCACTGCCTTACAAATATCACAGTTTTTGGGGAAAATTTATATTGCAACAATATGGTGCCCCATTTGTCCACCAAAAGAGCAAATTTTACTCTTGTTGAAGAAGGTTGATATTGAAGGATCCATGTAACTTATAGATAATACTTTATTTCATGCTGTTGTTTTTGTCATTTTGATTACATATTTAATTGATTCTTTTCTTTATGACTTGTTGATATTTTCAGGGTAAATTTAAATGAATGCCATTGTCCTTGTTGCCTAGGCTAAGCTTTAAACATCATTTTCTCACTTTTTAAATATCATGGAATCTGTACACCTCCAGCAGATTCGCTTTTTGCACATTTTTATCACTGATACATTGCTCACATTTTGTTCTTGAGGCACAGTTTTAATTGTTCTTAATCATAAAATTATGAATCAAATGATATAAGTGTAGCAGATGTTACACAAAGAATTGCTTCAATGGTTGTTTTGATTGCATATTTTACAAACTGGGATTGCTGCTGTAAAGACAGTAGCATTAAGCAGCTTGTTTATTTGATGGACACAGAAAATTGCAGAATTTAGTCCACTGGCAGCTTAATGCTGTAGTCTTTAACCAATGTATTTCTTGTGGCATCTGCTTCGCAGTGCGTTGCAGAATTAGCAAGGGGCTCATTTGCTTTATGGTTTTATTTGCATTAACCACTACAAATTATTGATGCACCTTCATATGATCTTGTGTTAACCGGTACATAATTTATCAGCCGATATCTAAAACAATAAAATGTCTTTTCTTTAATTTGTAACTTTATAAAGAAAATATGTGGACTGTTCAATCTGTGTAAACATGGTATTGTAAATGGACAGCAACTAATGCATTGGATATCGCAAGATGTATTTCATCCTCTGTAAAGCTGAAACATGTTTCCAGAGAATGTACATAAAGTGTATTTACTACAAACAAAATTGTGTGCAAGGGTCAGAGTTGAATGATTATCACAGATTATGTGAATTTGAAAAAAAAATAATAATTTTGTTCTAACTGTGGTTTTACTCATTTTTTGTTCCGCTATCTGCAGAAATATGTGTGCTTATGGATTTTAAATATCAGAGGACAATCTATTTGAAAGCAAATAGATTCCAACTATCATAGACATTTAATTTGGGGGTGGGTACGGCTGGGTTAAATCTTCTGCTGGCAATTTTGTCATTAAAAAAAAGATAGGGTTCTTTTACATGGGGATTTGAAGTTGGTTTGAGATTAGGCTCTGGACTCTCAAGTTGCTTGTACTGTGAAGTCATTTTAGTTTCCAAAATCATAAAAAGTTAGATTTCAATCAGTTTTAACATCTTAAAAAAACCCCCACCTGCTGTATATTTATATTGGAGGGTACGTATGGTGCCAATATCCTGCTGCAATAGAATGTAATAGAAATAGGTAAGAGTTCAGTGCCTCTGTTGTGAACTTTTAAAGATGAATCTCTCCACTCCGACTATAATTACAGTGGTAAATGACAAAAGAGCTTTTGTTGCTTGTCCAGACTGTTTATACATGTTCACTTTAATACTATAGTGAGGGACACATGTCAACATACCAGCAGTGTCTCAGAAAAATCTTGAAAGCCAGTTGGTTATTCTGCTTACTTCTCAAATACACATTTCTTAATCATACAGTACAGAACACAGGACTTGCCCGATTTATTTTTTCAACTAATCGAGAGGAGAGAGAGGTTTTTTTTTGTGATGCAACCAACTATTCACATCGATTAGTTGTTGCAGCCCTGGTTGCTTTGGGCACTCTATCCTGTTTTGGCACTCACCTTGGCATGTGGCTTAACACATTTAGCCATAGGGTGCTATACAGGTCCAGGTCTGCCCATCGGTGAGGCCCTATGCCCTGATGACCCCCTTATGGGGTATGCTCACTGGGAAGGCGAGCCCTTGGATGGGGCTGGTTTCCCTGCATCTTGACCTCTCATTAGGCGGTTTTCCCAACTGAGAGCAGCAAGTCAGGATATTGTCCTTTAATTTGGGTCCCAGTTGTGCTGTCACTGAACTCTTTGGAGCACTTGGAGGTGTTTGTTGTGGCCACAACAATTGTTTCCCGGTGGTCATATACTGTAGGAGTTGCTGCGACACTTTAAATGTTCTAATGGTGTCCCCCTGCACTCCTTACAAGAAAACCCCTTTTGGTTGCGTGCTGAAATGATGGTGCCGCTAATCAGTTTAGAGACCAGATGTCACCAGTACATCAAGGATAAGTGTCAAAGCAAACATTTTTTATTGACACAAATTGTCACAAGGTTGGCCAGCCTGCTCAAAAATTAACATACCCTATATTGCCAAAAGTATTGGGATGCCTGCCTTTACACGCACATGAACTTTAATGGCATCCCAGTCTGTCCATAGGGTTCAATATTGAGTTGGCCCACCCTTTGCAATTAAAACAGCCTCAACTCTTCTGGAAAGGCTGTCCACAAGGTTTAGGAGTGTGTCTATGGGAATGTTTGACTATTCTCCCAGAAGCACATTTGTGAGGTCAGGTACTGATGTTGGACGAGAAGGCCTGGCTCGCAGTCTATGCTCTAATTCATCCCAAAGGTGTTCTATCGGGTTGAGGCCATGACTCGTGCAAGCCAGTCAAATTCCTCCACCCGAAACTTGCTCGTCCATGTCTTTATGGACCTTGCTTTGTACACTGGTGCGCAGTCATGTTGGAACAGGAAGGGGCCATCCCCAAACTTTTCCCTCAAAGCTGGGAGCATGAAATTGTCCAAAATGTCTTGGTAGGCTGATGCCTTAAGTGTTCCCTTCACTGGAACTAAGGGGTCGGGCCCAACCCCTGATAAACAACCCCACACCATAGCCAGCCCCCCCCCCTCCACCAAACTTTACACTTGGCACAATGCACTCAGGCAAGTACCGTTTTCTTGGCAACCGCCAAACCCAGACACGTCCATCGGATTGCCAGACAAACGCGATTCGTCACTCCAGAGAACACATCTCCACTTCTCTAGTGTCCAGTGGTGGCGTGCTTTACACCACTGCATCCAACGCTTTGCATTGCAGTTGGTGATGTAAGGCTTGGATGCAGCTGCTCGGCCATGGAAACTCATTCAATGAAGCTCTCTAAGCACTGTTGTGCCAATCTGAAGGTCACAAAGTTTGGAGGTGTGTAGCTATTGACTATTGCAGACAGTTGGTGACTTCTGCGCACTGTGCGCTTCAGCATGCGCTGACCCCGCTCTGGCATTTTACATGGCCTACCATTTCGTGGCTGAGTTGCTGTTGTTCCCAGTTGCTTCCACTTTGTTATAATACCACTAACAGTTGACTGGAATATTTAGTAGCAAGGAAATTTCACGGATGGGCTTGCACAGGTGGCAACCTATCGCTGTACCACGCTTGAATTCCTGAGAGCGACCCATTCACCAATGTTTGTAGAAGCAGTCTGCATGCCTAGGTGCTTGATTTTATACACCTGCGGCCATGGAGTTGGTTGGAACACCTGAATCCAATGATTTGGAGGGGTGCCCCAATACTTTTGGCAATATAGTGTATACGAGTCAGAAAATCTGACGTGCACACACAAGTAAACACATTTCTGATAAGATTTGCAAAATATATAATTAGCCCTATTGCTATAGCTTACATCTTTAGGAAGAACTGTCCACCATTGCCCTGCATCACCACAGTAATCTGAAACCTGGTTTAGCTCACTTTCTTATATATGCTTTTCCGGTACTCCGAAAATAACGTTGTTTTTGTTTGTTTTAGGGGTTTTTTTGGACTAACATGCATTTAAGCTTGCACTTTTTTCCAATTATATTACTGTGTTAATCTGAGTATAGAAAACTGAATATGCAGAGTACACTGTGGCTTTTAATTGTGCGTAATTCAGGTGTTTCATGTGCATTATACATTTGGATTAAACATCAAATATTTTTGGAATTTGTTGTAAATCAATATAAAAATTACTTCTAAATTAAATTTTCGGTGCCATTTAGAAATATTTCTAGTTCTGGGGTGATGTTTGCATAAGATAAAGCTAGAGGAACATCCTGGCTTATACGAGACCTGAAGGGGAAAAAAAAAAAAGCTTGAGTATGTACTGTAGTAAGTGACTCTGGCACATGGCATGGTTTAATTTATTAACCGAGCAAACCTTCAACTTTTTACTAAAGAAAAGTTGGGAACCTCTGTAGCCGACAATGCATGTATGTCAGGGTCATTGGAAGGACTGATCAACGACCATATTTGGACATTGTCACTATACTAAGCATTTCATTTACCCTATTTTGTAAAGCTGATATGGTCCTAAATCCCAACATATTATACAATGCCTGCCTGAATGGACTTTCAGATATAAAAATAAGTTAGTGGTCACACAACCTTCCAAATGCCTTTAGACTATCCGATGAAGTCTCCATACCCAGAGAGAATTTGTTACCATACTATGTTCACTTTGGATTGTTTTACAAACTAATTTTATTCTTACATTAGCTGGTGCCACAGCATGTTTAATTGTATCTCACTGTCAGATATTTGTAAAGAAAAAAAATAGTATGCTATGGGAAAGAAGGTTAAAATTACCACTTTAGTTTCTGGTTTAATTTACGTAGGCTGGAAATTACAGGCCGCAGTACAAAAGAAGATGCAAAACTGCTACTTGTAAATTTGTCTGGACAGTAATTACAGCTCTTAATAAAAGTTTAATGTAGTATACTGGCATAAATGAATTTTTATTTCTTTTAAATTATCAATCACCCTTTGTAGGAAGGAGCATTTTAACACTATAAGTGTGTATTCATAAACCAAGGGTGGGAAATAGAGGGCCTCAAGGACCTATTTTACAAGGCTTTAAAGTTATCAAGAACATTGCAACGTCTATATTATTTTGTCATTTTGAATAACATTTTAAAGTATTATTATTTAAAATAAAACTTGAAGAAAATCATATTTAAATCCACGTTTCCTTTGCTTGACCAGGATTTGGTAGAAGGCAATCCCTAATTTATGTGCTACATACAGGAAAACAGCTCAATAAATAGGTTTAGTTTTAATATATTAGTTGTATTTTGTGGCATGAAAAGGCCAATAGAGAACTGTAGTTTTCTTTCCATGGTTCCCCGTCATGTCGGCATATTAAGGGTCACCGCTTCCAGCCATAGCTGAAGATGTAATATAAGTGCCACACTAATACTCTGTAGGTTGATCTACTAAAGGCAATTCACTTTGCAAGGGAATTTGCACTTTCCAGGGGAAGCTTCCCCTTAGTTGAATGAGTTGACGCTCAGGTGACTTTCATCATCCAATCATGTGCAAGCAAAAATGCTGTTTTTGGTTTTTTTAGTTTTCTTGTACCTGATTGGATATTCTTTGCAATTTGAAATGTCACCACATTCACTGAGGGAAGGGAACACTTCCCCTGTAAAGTGCAAATTTCCCTGCAAAGTAAAAAGCCTATCTGCTTTTAGTAAATCAACCACTTAGAGTACTTCAAGATTTTTAATTGTTTCATAGTAGGAGTAACATGAGATTAAACAGCCAACATATTTCAGGAGCTCAGACACTCCCCTTTTCACACAAACACAAATTAGACAAAACAGCCATCATACAGACCCTGTTTTCTTATGTTATTTTGGAGGGATTCTACAACAATTCATGTGGTGCTGTTATTACATATTAAACTTTTGAACGTAGTCTGTTCTGGAGTGCCCTTGTTAATGAAAGCAGCCTAACCAGAACCAGTAACCTTTAGGAACTGGATTTGACAATATGGAACTTCATAGTTGTTAGGGTTGAATAAAGACCCAGGTCCATCCATTGGGGGTGATTTACTAACCTAAACACACGCACGCACCAGGTGTGTGTGATTTTCACACAGCAAAACGTATTTATCAACCAAAAAGTCTCTAAAAGCATATTTCCACTAATGCCATATATGGAAAAATCAT